AAGGTAACTGCAAAATAACAATTTATTTCTGGCATTTTTCTTTGCCAAACATGGACGGCAGTGCCATGGTGGTTTTATCTGTGCTCGTAACATGGTATGCAGAATCAAAACTTCGTTAGCAAGAAAATGTAAAAGTGGCTTTTTAAAGATCAGTTTTCTCTTGCTCCTTAATAGTTTTGGAGGTGTTTTGTTTTGTTTAAAAAGGTTCCCATTTTGCTCTTCTAGTTTTCTGCTCTGTCAGCTGCCTTCTCCCTACTATCGGAAGCCCACACTGTTCAGGATTGTGATAAATGAGTGAGTCCCAAACAGAACTCCAATTAAAGTTTACAATTTATTAGGCAAATAAAAGCAAGCAAACAGTGCTGGGTGCGCTGGGAGTCTCCACTCCACCAAGACGCACACCATATAGTTCTTATTTCTGGTTTATACTTCTTTTACTAATACATATTCTCAATTATTTCCGAGAAAAGGTGGTCTTATTACAATGAGTTCAGAGAAGTCATCTCCATAGTCTCCACCCCTAACCCCCCCCAGTTGCGCGTGCGCAGTGTCTCCTGGTGGTCGTGAGTAGGGGTCTCAGGGATGAAGGCTGTATGTCTTCCTCGTCATGACTTTTTCACCTCCCCAGAAAAGAAGTCATGATGACTCTGCTCTGCGAAGTCATCAGGACTGTCCTTGTTCTCCATCTTGGCTCCTGCTTATCTTACACAAGGGTTATGCAACTTACAGATACATGGCTTGAGCAAGCTAACTTAATAGTGGTTAAGTGAGATTAGAGATTAAGCGCGTACAGGCCCTTAGACTCCTCTTGTCTAACACCTTGGAACTGGCAGTAAAGCAAAAATGTTAGGTGGCTTTTGCAAGAAGCGAGAACTATATACATACCATTCTGCTTCCTCTAGGGCTATGGTTGTATAAGAACAAACAGAATGGTTAAAGGTTATATATACAGAGAAGGTCATATTTCACAATTGGGGCTCATGGTTAGCAGCATCATGAGGCATTTCGCAGGTTTACGTTTTTGCATTTCACAGAGATCTTAAACTAAGATCATCACTTATCTTGAATAGGCACACCCTACTCCTCGCCACCTGTTCGCATATCCATCCATTGTCCCATATTGACACGAATCAAATGAACATATTTCACAGGATGAACTCAGGCTTCGTACAGTAAAATCCAGTGTCAAGAATATTTCAGAATGGAAAAACTGGGAATATGCTGTAATGCCCTGGCTGTTGCAGTACAGTAAGGCCAGGCCAGTCCTTTAGGTTTATTATGTGGTAGGTGGAGCAAATTCAATCCGTGGATCACTCACAGAAATGCTGCCACTTTATTTTGAAATATATTTTTCAGCTTAATGTACAGGGGGAGCAGGAGTGCTTCCATGTCTCTAGACTGCTGGGATGGAGGAGCACCTCTCAGTGCTGTCACAGCTTCCAGCGCGAAGTTCTGGATGCGTGGGAGGCACAGCCCAGCGGTGCAGCGCTTCCTTCGCGTGGTTGCTTCACTCCATCCAACAAGGTCAGGAATGTTCCTTCTCTGGGGTCTGTGAAAGTCCGTATTTGATTTGTGGATGATTTGCGGAAAAAGTGTATTTTGGGTTTCTTTTTAAGGCAAGTTATTTTTCTCACTGTCGGCACATGAACTCTGCTATTGAATGATTCAGCCTGAACGCACATCCCATCGGCAGTTAACAAAATGAGGAAAATTTTCTTAGGTGTGCTAACAGCAGTAATCAGCAGTCCCAGTAAGAGTAGATCTTACATGGAAGAACATTTTTGTGGGAGTCTGTAAGTGCTCTTCCAGTGCCGGTAATTTTGTGTCTCATCCAGAGAGAGGATTCCCTTTCACAGATGTGCTTCACCTGTAATTATCTGGGGAGAGAGTAAAAGTGCAGATGCTAATCTCCCAGAGCAAAAAGTAGTGGCAGCATTTTAAATTATGAAAGTGTAATTCAGCAGAGCTACAATACAGCATGCGTGTACTAAATCTGCCCCCGTCTGTCACTTTTCTAGTTTGTGAAGTTAATTTGAGTCTGTTAAACGTCTTAGACTCCCTCCTATTGTTGTGCTCTCTTTGTTTCACTTTTGGTACTGTTGATAAATAGTTCTTGTCTTGATAGGGTATTTAATATAAGAAACCATCCATTGGTGCCCTTCCTGGTGGGAAATTCACTTGCATCTTCTATAGGGAGTCAAAAGCATAACTGACACACATGTCCAAATGTCAGGTAGGTGCTGCTAGGGTAATGCTGCTGTTTCATCCTCAGGGAGCCTCCCAGGACGCTGGGGGTCCCCCAGAGCTCCATGTTACCAAACCAGCCTTTCTGCAGGTTATCACACCCCAGTCTGCACTAATGACAAAAATGTGGATTTTCTGAGCTCTCCTGGGATCGATGCAATGCCAGGTCAGTCTAAACAGTGCCAGTAAAGTATTGTAAGAGCACACACACCTTAGGTATCCAGTAGGCTGATTCTGTTGTCTGGGATGGGGACATAACTAAAAATTACTTCATAATGTCATTAGTCTATTGTCTTCCCTTCCTGAAGAGTGAAGCATCCCTGCCAGAGCCTGGAAACCAGTCATGTCTGCACTGGCACTGTTAAGAATCTAGCCTGTCGTTGCTGGGAGGTTAGCGAGTTGCTTAAGCCTTTTGAGCCTTCTTCAGAGCCAACTGTGATGTCTGCCTTGCGCAGCTCTGACAGCGACTCCTCAGTCAGCCTCAAGGCTTGGGAGATCTTTTTTCCCCGGAAAGCCTTGTGGTGCTCCTGAGCTCCTCACAGCACTACCCAAACCCCTTGTTGGCATGGCAGCATCCTTTTTGTAGGCTGGATGCGTGTCTCGTGCAATCCATGGGGACCTGGGATGTAGGCAGAGGTGCTGCGGGTGACCGGCTGTGGCTGTCACTGTGCCTGTGCACACGAGGGGACAGCATGCAGGAGGAGTCAGCAGTGGTGACTGTCAGCTGCCTGCAGTTGTCAGCAGACACCTCATGCTGGGTGCTCGGGCCGGTGTCGCCCACTCTGCTTTAGCTCTGCTGCACCTTCTCCTGTGCCAGGTGAAGCCTCTGTGAATCCCCAACCGTGGTGTTGCTAAGTCAGGACCAGCCCCACTGCCAGAAACGTACGCAGTCATACTGTGTCACTCCCTGCTCCTGCTCTCATTGCTCGCCAAGGGACAGGACAGCCTGTTCTGAGTCCCTCCAGCTCTGCCAGTGCTCAAGCTGCATGTTAGACTTACAGCTCTTTGCTGCTGCAATGCCGTGCAGAGCTGCCGAAAAGGCTGGGTCTTGGAGAAGGCTTCCTCATCCATGTGAGCACTGCTGGTGCGGTGAGGCAGAAGGCAGGTGGGACGTGGAGACCTGCCAGACAGCCTCACTTCAGACCCTTGTGCTGAAGCATCAAACCCCTCAGGCTCGAGAGAGGGTCATGAGAGTCCTGTTTACACTGCCTAACCTTGGGGACACTCTGGGAGAGACAGTGTCCCCATTTGTTGTCCTCAGATGCTGCCTCGGGTCCATACAAGTGTTGGAAACAGCTGAACTGAGAACTGATGAGGATGTTAAAAATGTAGTGGAAGTAACTTGGATGCTAAACAAGTTCTCAACAAATAAGCACTACCCTTGGGATGGCAAAACTGCTTTTTTAATTCTAGATGGAGTACAGGATGTTGTCCTTCTTGTACACAAGTTTCTGCCTGAGTGCCCCCTTTCACAGCTTGAGGGAGGCAGATGAAAATAGCAAGATGGTCACTGTCTGAAGACATGTCATTTTGCACATGAAGTCATTATGGAATGTGGAATGAGGTTAAAACCACCACAACATCTGCAGGCATCTTTGTCATGAATTTGTCACTAAAGATGTCGCTAGCCGTGAATGCTTAACCCACAGGTATCGCTGAGCTGGATGGCAACTGCAGACTGAAAAAGAGCATAGGCTTTGGGGAAATTGTCCTAGGTTTACTTTTGGCTCTGCAAAGGCTCACGAGTGCAAGCCCCTGGCTGACACTGGCAGCAGTGGACGCATCCTGAAGAGCAGCAGTCCCACAGAGGTGCATTGTGCTCCTTTGGCCCTGCAGGTACATCTGCCAGTTTGGACAGCCACGTGGATCACTGTGGTGGTGACAGCCTTGAACTGTTTGGCCATCCACAGTGTTGCCAGGGAGGAGATTAAGGGTCGATGCCCAAAAAGAAACCCAGGGATGTGAGCTGTAGCAGTGCTTCAGGCTGCATCTTCCAGCTGCTCCCTCTGGCAGTGTGGGGCAGCCAGGGAGGTGCATGCAGCTTGGGAGAAAAGGACACATTCTTCACCAGGAAAAGAGACTAATTGTGGCCCAGAGACCAAAACAACATTTTATTGTCATTGTTTCCACATACTATGGAGGCTGCACCTGGTGTACATTAAAGCGCTGTGGTCACACTGGGCAGATAGATCCTTCTTTTCCCTTCTGACTGAGCCTGGAGACTTTGCCAAGGCACACCCCAGGCCTAGAAGCTGTCCCCAGCCCAGGAGCCTCGTACACTTTCACTTCCAGCTCTGCAGGCTGCTAAAAGCAGGAGGATTTGGCGACAAGAGAAGAGCCTGGACTGTTAGATGGTTATGCTTTGCCTTTCAAGCCAAGGGTATCTCAGTTTGCCAAGAAATGCGTGGGCTCTACTGAGCCCCTGTGGTAAGACAGGGGCTGTGCTGCCTGGGTTAGTACCATGCACAGGGTGGTCAGAGCCCACAGGAATCAATGGGAGCCTTTCCGTTCAGGCCGGGGGGCTCGGAACCAGGTGTCTGTAACCAGGCCCTCTGCATCACCTTCTACTTCAGCCCTTGAGTTTCCCTTTTCCCTTTACAAGCAAGCTTGGATTGCAGTGTCTGCCTGCCTCCAGCCCTGTGCACATCCCTTGCATACAGCAGTAGGGAAGGAGCTTGAGACAAGGCATTCACACACCACGTCCACCCAGGTGGGCACTGGTCGATAAACTTTCCTGAGCTGTGCGGGTGTTTCTTGCTCACAAAGCCACAGAACTTAATAAGCTGCTTAAGTCTAGCACAAGCTTAACTCCAAGGAGCCTCTAATCACACCCAGTCTTTTTGCCGGAGGAGCAACGCTGCTCTGCATCTCTCTGGCATGAGCAGGACGTGCTCGTCTGCTTCCCACCAGCTCACTCATGCTCAAAGAACTCATGGCAAGCAGCGGTGACCATTGCAATGAAGGCTACAAACTCCTGGAAGTCACACTCTGCATCTCCATCACTGTCCAGTGCCTCCATGACTTTGTCCACAGTCTCCTGGTCTTTGATCTCCTGAAGGGACAGAAAGAGAGTCAGCCAAAGCTGGTGAGGATCAGAGCGAGACCCAGACAGTAACATGTCCTCACTTCTTGGGTGCGCTCATGGCTGAATCTTTGTTCAGAAACATCCCAAATATCTCGTTGGTGTTTCCTGTCTGTGTTGGGGCACCATCTTGCGCCCGCAGCAGCATCTGCGCAACAGCAGCCCTCCCGAAGTGGGAATCACAGCCACACCTGTGCCACTGGGAAGGGGCATCTTGAGCCCCTTGGGGCAATGCTGTCCTCCCTTCCAAAGGAAGGAAATTTACCTAGTATCCAACCTGAACCCCAGTCCCCAGCACAAGCTGTTGCTCTCGTCCTGCAGAGCTGGAGCAAAGTGTTTAACATGCTGCTGCATGAGTTAATCTCTTCCCCTGTGCTTACTTCCCATGGGAGATGGAGTTAGCAGAGCCCAGCAGCTGCTTGACACGGCTCTCTGAGCCTAGCCAGGTGTGCTGCACGGAAAGCGATACTTACGCCAAGGAAATGGGTCAACTCGTTGTTAATGAGCTCCTTCAGTTCTGATTTCTTCAGCTTGTGCTTGTCTCCTTCCCTGAGTACTGGTGGAAGGCATCAATGATGGCAATCATGGCCTTCTCCAGCTCAGACATGGTCACAGTGTGGCCCTGAGGAGCAATGAAAGCGTTAGCCTGGGTGAGCTCCAGCAATGCCTTTTGCTTTGCAAGCGCAGCCACCCCGGGGCTCCTCCCATGCGCCGCCAGCGCCAGTTGGCACACTCAAAACCTGCTGCTGAAAAGCATTGCTACCAACTCTGGCTTCAGCGTGGAAGATCCCGAGAGACCTTGTCTCTGCCCCCAGGAGCTCTTAAAGAGAGGAGAGCCACAACACAAGGAGTGCCCAGTATAGGACAGGCGCGTGCCAGGAGCTGACATGTCCCCTGGGACTGGTGTGAGTTTGGCATCTTGCGTCTCTGTGTGAGCAGGGCATAGGAGAGAAAAACGAGGAGAGGTCACAAAGCCCTGGTGGCTTCCAGCAAGGCACTCTGTTTTCTGTTATGTGCCAACCTGGCTAGCAGGTGACATGTTGTCACTTCACCTCTTCTTTGGCTCCTGCTGCTTAACCCATTGCTCTGTTCTACTCGCTTGGGAGAGGGGCAGGCAGGAGTTTCGTTTCTGCACGTGGAGCTTCAGAAAGGTTTTCCTGGCCCCTCTTGCCTCTGCCTTTCTCGCCTGCAGGCCTGTCTGCAGCTGAGCAGTCAGGGGAACCCAGGCAGGAACCAGTTTTGATGAGTGCCAGCAGGACAAAATAAACACCTCTCTTCTAACCTCCCTCCTCCTGTGCTTGATCTGGAGATCCTCTCAAGAATGTTAATAATTGGGATTGCAGTGTTTTCTGCAGGTGTCACAAACAGACAAACCAAAGAGACTCTGATGGAAAAGGGAGAGATGCAAAACCACCTTCCCAAAAGTTGTTGAATGCCCTGATGCTGGGGAAAAAAAAAGCCTAATTGTCTGGCACTTGGTTAATTCACACCCCATGGACAAATGCCTCCTGCCCTGCAGTCTGGCTTCTGTTTTTCCACCACGAGACCCAGTGCTGAAGGCACTAGATTTTATCCCACAGCCTGACTGTCAAGCTGATGCCCTCCTCCGTGCAGCAGTCGGTATCCAAACTGCAAGGCTGTTTCCAGTCAGGTAGGAAATATTCCTAAAGCATTTCATGCACGCATCCCAATAGCCCTTTGCATGGTCATGCCTTGCCTGCGCCACGCTGGGCTAGCTGTCAGCAGCACTGCCTGCTTCCCGTCTGCAAAGATAAGGATCGTTTCAGCACCCTGCTAGCCTGCACTGCAATGGCAGAGGTCAGAGCTGCAGCAGTACCCCCCGCGCCACCCCTCCCACAGCAGCACCCCACCTGCTCCAGCAGCCAAGCACCTGCCCCAGCATCTCCCAGCCCCTCTCACCTCCCTGCTGGCGGCGGGGCTGTGGCACAGCAATGCGATGTGACCAGCACTCCCGGGGACTTGCTGGCTTCTTATGCCCAGGGGCAGAGAGCCGGTGCCCCTGCCGCTGTGCCCGCAGCGCCAATGGCAGCTGGAGGTGGGGGCGTCCGGAGCTGGGCATCAGCCCTGCCCTGCGCAGTAATTCGCACAGAGATGCATTGACTCGATGCCAGCCTACGGCTGCAGACGTGGGAGCTCTTGTGGAGAAAGCCACCATTGTGAGAAAAAAAATAACTGGACAGTCAGCAGGAGAGCCAGTCTGGCTGTATTGCCTGTGCTGCTGCTCTCATCCACAGTAAAGGCAATGAATTGTGAGCCATGGCAGGACAGGCATGGTTAGAGCTGGGCTGGGGGCCCCAACATCTGCCCCATGGCACCCCACAGCCAGGCCCAGGTGCACGAGAACGATCAAATACCACTGTCCCTGTGGACCCTGTCCCAGGGCTGCAGCAAATATTTGGGGCAGAGGTTTTTCTTTCCATGTGACGGGAACATCCATCATGGCAGCTTGTGCCTGTGGCCTCTTATCCCTTCGCTGTGCACCTCAGTTGGGTCCAGCTGCATCTTCTCTGCCACCCCAGCAGTCTAGGGGATGATGGGACCCTTTGTGGAGAAATTGCAATTGTACCAGGCTGTAAGCAGTTGAAGGATGGAGCTGGCAGCAGCAGCTCCTACCCGGGGCCCACCGGGAG